ATCTGTGCAACATCCAGCTCGGTAATTAGATCCCGGGGGAGAAATGAAGGGTCAGCTAAGTGGTGACAGGTTCTCTTTAATACTTGATTGGTAAATACTAAATGATGGGAACATTTCGATTTTCCTTTTCTTTCAATTTAAATATTGTTCACATAAAATGTCCTTCATAAATGTTAAAAGATCAACGGATGTATACAATATTCACATAAAAACCTTATAAACAGTAATTAAGAGGGAACGTATAGGAGATGAATATTTGGAGAATGAAAATGTTGACATTGTACACACTCGTAAGTTGCATTCATCCAGTTTGTAATTTAATAGTTAAAATCTTTTTGTGCAATCTCAAGAAAAAATTAGGACAGTTCAGCATATTTCTAAAGCAAACATTGTCAATGAATAGTCAAATAATTATAAAATAGCGAAATACTATACCTTAACAGTATATTATATCCAGCTTTCAATCTCAGTATTCAGAATTTTGGCAATATGTTGTTACATGCAAACAACTACTATTCATATAGGTTTTATATGAAAATGTATTTAGTGGTAATATTGAAACGCATGGTAGGTTGAAATGAAATTATTAAGTATGAAATTTATTTTTTAATGTTTACCATAGTTCTAAAACGCTCTGTGAGTACTAACGCGCTTAAAACAAATATCAGAAATGTCAATTTAAATAGCAGCTACTGCACTGATGTGGAAATCTCTCCTATCCTCCAAAATACATACACAATAACATAATGAGGGGGGGTTGTAATCCTCCACCAATCTCCTAAGTGGAGCACTAATAGTTTTGCACTTACCCCTGTATAAACCTGAAGGAAATGGTGGTTTAATTTGATATAAATGGGAGAAAATGGAGAAAAAACATCTAATAGTGTGGTATATTGAGAAATAATAAGTGGTATAAATCGGTAAAAGAATCACACTCACAAAATAAGAGCCAAGTATAAGGACTGGCTAAGATCACAAAAACTTTGGTGTAAGGGTGACACCTTCCCTCTTCTTAATTCCTCTTGGTAAAACTCAAACAAAGCAAAATAGAAATAATTTCTAATGTCATATGTCCAGAATCCAATACTCTTAGAAGGTTCCTAAATATTGCTTATCTTGAAAAGAGCCAATAGGAACAACCTGGTTCTAGATGTTAAAGTTGGCGACACCAATAAAGGGTTGTAACCCTTCTTTGCCGGAG